CAGCTCTAGCCGCGGGGTCGGGGGCAAGTCATCCAGCCGCAGGCGCCTCAGCTCCTCCCCGCCAGGCCGCACCCCTTGCGGAGCCGCTTGGGAGAAAAGACGGGCGATGAGGCGATCAGAGCAACAGCGGGTCACGGCCCTTACGGTCGAGAGCAGCCCCATACCACCGGCTGTGCTGGGAACTCGACACTCACATTCAGGTGAAGAGGACCCGACAACTATTCACACTCTGTCCCTTCAGACAAGGACAGAAGCCCTGGCTACCTACTCAAGGACTGCCTAGAAACCAACCACCGAGGTACAGGTTCTCCCTCCCGGGAACCTACACTAGTCCTCCGCTTCCGGGTTCCGGAGGCCCCGCCCGCTACCCAGGGATGCACTGCGCTTGCCTAACCTGCAGGATGTCCCTACAGTGCCCCCTGCCGGGCTGCTGGCTGAGTGGCTACCTCCACCGCCCCAGACTGGGCGATAGTGCTGAAGCTGAGCTGTCCCTACCATGCCAGGCGGCACCCACTTTCCTGGAAGTGCCAGGTATCTAGAGAGCAGGGGGCACATTCACCCAAGCAGCAGCAAAGGACAATTTAAGGAACCTTTCGGCCTTCCTGTTTAACCTTGGTTGCTCCCTCCCCACATCCAGCTGGGTGAATGTCCCCAGAAGCTTCTTGTCAGACCCTCACTACCAGTCAGCAAGATGCCAGCGATTCTTCCCACTCTTTGGCCGCCGATTCTCCTCCGAAGGGACAGCTGTAAGCCTGTCGAGTCTCTGCCAAGAAGCTAGCTGGCCACTTTTGCATCCCTACTTTGCTCCTACACAAAGTTGTATGTAGTTTACACAACACTGAACGCTCTTACAGGTCCCCCAACCTTGCACACCTGTGTGCCTTCTCTGTCTTCAGAAATGGCTCCCCGTTTTCAAGACCTACTCCAACACTTTCCTGTGGTAATGCGCACTCGGGGAGAGATGCCCCAAGCTGACACAGCCTCCCACTCACCTTGAAGAAATTCTGGAACAATCTCTCCTACCACAGGGAAGGGGGAACAATTGAAAGACACTCCTGAAACCAAGGTAGGTTGGTTGCCATTTTTCTTTTTTTAATCATCACAGTGAAGCCAGGCTCTGGTATTCTGCTGTCATTGAGGGGAATGATGACCCTTCTGGGGGCAGGAAGCCAAGATTGAGGTGGAGAGTTGGGGGGCTAGCCCTGGAGCCCTAGATAACCATTCCAATATAAGGTGATGGCCTCTCTCTGCCACTTAAACCCTGAAGGGAAGAAGCTGGGATGCAAGAAGATAGAGGGAAGCCCCCCCCTTTAGGCCACATTCCTATTCCCAGATCAAATGGAAGAAAGACTGAGGAGAGCAGATAAAGGCCAAGGAGCCCAAGAAAGGGACCCACAACAAACTAACAGGCAAAATAATCATGGACCCCACCTCTCCCCAGCCCATTTTTTCACATTTGCATTGGAAATAATCTGACAAGCTGATTTAAAAACCTTTTACAAATTTTCTAGCCCTTGGTGGGGGTGGGGTCAGAAAGTGGAATCCAGGGGTCCAGAAATCAACACCTAAAATCCACAGGCAGGAGCTAAGCCATGAGGGGCAGAGAGGAGGAGCTCCCCACTGGACACTAGGTCACCTGTTCCGTGGGCCTCATCTGGATGTCTCCAATCTGTGGAAGACACAAGGCTTGAGATGGTTGGACATTCCCTACCCGCTTAAGGCCTCCCTACTCCCCTTTCTGGGGATGTTGGACTCTTCCAGGGGGTGGACAGTCAAGGCCAGACTCACCTGGACATGAGGGGGACAGCTGAGGACGTAGATGACAGCCTCAGCCACATCTTCAGGTTTGAGACACTAAGAGCACCAAGGTAAAGAATTGAGCAGACAAGGATAGAAGAGACCCAAGTTCCTTCCCATCACAGAGGTCCTCTCCAGCACCCACATTCCCATCCCAGCCCTCTAGGAGGGGTGATCAACTGGCCAGAAGGGTGGAGTCTGAAGGCCAGAGTTCCCTTTACTTTGACTTAGGAACTGACTTTACTGGGCCCCACCTTGATGCGTTCATAGGTAGCAGCTGCTCTCTCAGGGTCCTTGTCATGGAGTTTGAAGGCGAACTGTGTTTCCACCAAGCCTGGAGAGATGCACTGGGCCAACAGAGAGGGCCTGCTCAAGAGTGTAGCTTTGCCAGGCCTTGGGCAGGTTGGGGAGAAAGGATGGAGGCCACAGGGTCCAGCTTCCCAGTGACGGCTGTACAATGTGCAGATACTGACCCCTCCCTCCAAAGCTGTCATTGACAACGATCACAATGTTCCCAACTATCTACACAGCCAGGTAAGTGCTTTACACAGTGGGTTTCCTTAAAGCCTCATAACCAGGTGGGGATCATCATTCTTTTTTTTTTTTTTTTTTTTTTTTTTTTTTTGGTACTGGGGATTGAACTCAGGACCTTGCACTTGCAGGCGGTGGAACTCTGTGCTAAATCCCTGGCCCCATCATTCCTTTTTCCAAGAGAGAAGACTAAGTCCTGGGGAGCTAAATCCCCAGCCCTAAAGTGGAGCTCCTTTGTCTTTTTTTTTTTGAACTCAGGTCCTTGTACTCACAAGGCAGGTGGTGGAACCACTGAGCTAAATCCCCAGCCCCATCATTCCTTTTTGCAGATGAGAAGGCTAAGGCCTGCAGAAGTTCAATGATTTGTCCGATGTCATCCAGCCCTCAAGGGAAGAGCCCAGAATCTTGCTGTCCGACCCATGTATACCTGGCTTCCATAGTCCCTTGCTTTCCCCTCGTCTTATTCCACCATGTTTCCCTGAAATCAGCCTCCTCTCACCTCTAAGTCTGGTCAGTGGCTTCTGGTTGAATGAAATGATCCTCAAGGAGTGAATAGGACCATGCATGGGACAGCAGAGTCCAGGAGTTCTGTACCCTGTCCACTCCCAGGGGCTCTCAGCAGCCCACCCTGGACAGGGCTTCCTGGGCAGCACATGAGTGTGGGAGGGCCTGTGCCCACCTTGTCCCCACCAGGGCTAGGCCACAGCCTCACCGTGGCTCGAATGTGGGACTGGGCCTCCCGAAGCTCGTGCCTCAGTCCCTCAGTCAGCGCAGTGACGGCATACTTGGTTGCAGTATAGAAATGCATCACACTGTCCTGTAGGATTCGGTGGCCACACATGCTGCGTGGAAGCAGGGTGGGGAGAGGAGAGAGTGAAGCTCTACAGCAACTGGCAGTGCCCCTGCCACCCTGGTCCACCTCACTACCCAGAGGCAGATGGGAAGCCTTTGTCCCCCAGCCCATGGAACCTAGCCTGACATCCTGGAAGCTCTTGAAACCTTCCTCTGCCTTAAAGTCATCCTTCTGTTGACCACGGAATGCAATGTCTGGGTCATTCTGGATGTCAGAAGTCTTGCCACTGATACGGCTCTACTGAGGAACCTGTGAGCTAGGCAGGAGCCTTCCCCCAACTCTATTCCACCAGGAGGGTTCGTCCCAGGGCCTGGAGAATGGAGATGCTCAGTCCCAAGAGCTTTGACTTGGGCTTTGACTGCAGACAGAAGGGGCTGCGCTGCCCACCTCAGCAACGAGGCACTGGCACTTGACAACATAATTTTTCCCTCACCATAATCATGCCACTTGGGTATTAAATGGGAACAAAATCCCCATTTTACCAGCAAAGAAATGGGCCCATAGAGCTCACATGTGCTACAGCAGATTACCTAGTATGGAGGCCAACAGTTACCTGGGCTCCACCACCGGCACCCACCCTCACCTGTTGATGTTAATGATGTGCCCGTCGTCCACATTGCGCTCCTTCATGGACTGGTAGGCTTCCCGGGTACAGATGCTGAGCGCCAGCACATTTACCTGTGAGCCAGGAAGGCAACGGGGTGTTTCCAGCTTGGACCCAACTGACCAGCTGATGGAGCTGCTGAGCTCCATGGGGAGAGGGTGGTGTGACATTCCAGGGCCCAGGTTCTCCCAGAGACCTTCCACGTAGGTGCCCCTTCCAGAAAAGCTGCCATCCCCAGCTGACAGCAAATAGTTCCTCTCTTGGCTGGCCCTCCAAGTAGGAAAGGAAAGCCCCAAAATCCAGCTGGACCCAGAAGACTGGCTTAGCCACCTCCTCTGCTTTAGAGAATAATCTCCTTTTCTTCCCCATATAGCTTACCCTTCTCTGTAACAGTGTCCCTACTCCCTCCCAGACAGACTGAAAAGCATCTTCAAAGGCTTTAAGAACCTCCTCAGGCACAGACCCCAGCCTCTCCCCACCTTGCTCAGCCTGCCACTCTGCTCCCGTCCCCTCCCTGCAGCTGAGGAGGAAGAGGAGGACTGCCTGCCCCGCTGCCTTTTATACCTGCCTTCAGCCTGTGTCCCACCTGCAAGTGGGGGTCACTTGCCACTCCTGCTCCCTCTGGCAGATGTGACCCCAAGTCCCTGCCCTTCATGCAACAGAGGCCTGAAGCAGTATGTGCTGTGAAGCACCTGCCCAGCCCCACCCCTGAGCCTCTAGGCCAGGAGGACAAGCTGAGATAAAGCTTTCAGCAGGACCTTGTGCCTCTTGGGAAGAGAGACCTGCTGGCAGATACCAGCTGGCTCTCTTTATCAGGTGTCAGCCAGGCACAGGGACAGAGAACTCAGTGCGAACCTGCCTCGTACTCATGTACTTGTGGTGGCAGCAAGATGATGGGTTCTGAAGCATGGGAGTGTTCTCAGCCCCATTTCTGGTCCTCTTAGCAGGTAGCTTTGAGGGGCAGATGGAAGGGAGAAATGGGCCCCTGGGACCATGTGAGGAAATTAGATCTAGGGGACAGGATTGTGGAAAAGATGCCTCCCAGAATGACCCTAATAGACAATGTTCATGCTGAGGTGGGGATTAGAGATATAAGCCCCTCATTTTACAGAAGGGTAAGTTGAGGTCCAAGTTTAGAGACGCATCGCAGCAGGTAAGGGCCATCACTGATCCCCCAGAAGGCTGAGGACAGTGCCTTCATTTCCATTGCTCACTGCTTCATTTCCGGGCCCAAGCACCTATTAGATACAAAATCTACTAATGCGGGTGTGAAAGGATCGTGAGAGAAAAGAAGCATCCTGTTTGGACACTGCTTTCAGCTTTTCAGAATACATTCATACCCTATTGCTGCCCCCACAATGCAGCCCAGAAGTTGAATACCTGTTCCTGAAGGCTACATGTGGCCTGTGTATTGGCTTTAAAATATCATAAAAGAGTTTGTGAAATAGTTCACTGGTAGAGCACCACAATAAATAAATACCTTCCCAATATGTACTCATTTGTTCAATAAAGATCTCTTGAGGGCTTATAAGTGGAGCCATCCCAGAAAATAAAACAGACAAAAGTTCTTGCCCTGGTGGAACTGATGTTTTAGTGAATGGGATGGGTGGGGTGTCACATAAAAATACAGGCTCTCCACTTCTCTTAAAGAAATTGCAAGATCATCTACACTGTTAGAGAGCAACTCTGTTAGATCTGAGCAATGGACATGTTTCTCTCATGCATTGCAGACCACCCTTGGCCTACTTCACTCCTTTATGTACTACCTTGACCCAGGGATCACTGAAGTTTGTGAGCCCAGATACTGATGACATAGGGCGTTCACCCCAATTAAAAGTGACAAGATGGAAGCTCAGAGACAGTAACCTGCTTGACGATAATTACTAGCAGGACTGGGTAAGGATTTTATCTCTTTTCTCTGTTCCTTTTCATCCTGTGAGACCACGTTCTCAAGCATACCACACATTGCTGACACACAGGGACACTCAGTAAACAACAGTTCTCTCCCCTACCAATCTTTCTTCCAATATGGCACAATCGGTCTAGACTTGAAGGCCCACACCCAGGGGCTCAAAGAGAAGGAGAGCTGAGAAGATGCCGCTGTGTACCCACGCACTACCCTGCTAGTAGGGGAAGAACAAGGGGAGAGTGAAGATGCCCCCAGCGGGAAGCCAAAGGTCTTCCTAGTGTCCTATCCCCCCAGCCTCCAGCTCTCAGACCCGGCTCTGCTCTTCTCCCAGCCCCCGCCCGCACTGCCCCAAGCCCCTGAGCCCTTACATTGAACATGTCCTTCCAGCCGCTGGTACTGCCTGACAGCAGGGTATCAGGCCGGGCCAAGCCAGCATTGTTGATACAGATGTCCACACCACTGTGCTGAGAGCGGACAGCAGAGAACATGGAGAGGATGTCCTCCTCATTCGACAGGTCACATCTGTAGGGGATCAAAGTCCCGGGGTAGCCTGCACTCTTACATTCAGCAGCCAGCTCCTATGAAACCCAACAGGGGTCTAACTGGGGTGAGCTGCTCACTCCCACACCTCCCAACCACATCTCACCTCCCTCCCCTGTCACCACCCATAGAACTCTCTCCTTTCAGAGCTGCCTTTTGGCTATAAAGATGCCGGACTGTCCTTCCCCAAAGCTTGTCGTCTTTGTTCAAAATCCAGGGGTTAGGGCACTCCCTGGGAGGGCAGAACTGTGCAGACCAATAGAGGAAGCTCATGTATAAATGCAAGCCTCCTGTTCTGAGGGAGAAGGTGGGCAGGGATTCTGGTAATGGAAGGAGATCTCTTTTCTGCCTCTTCCCCATCAAGAGCATCTCCTCTGCCTGCAAATAATAAGAGAGATCTTTCATCCCACCTCATGCTGCTTCTGACAGTACCAGCAGTCTCTGAGCTGGCTGCTTCAAGACCTCCCTTCCTTTCCCACTGGTGTCAACCAACCCTCCCCAGAAGGGCTTATGAAGGAAACATCACCCTCCCCTCCAAACTTTAGTCAGCTTGACTGAGCTCAAAGGTACATTCTCACACCTTTCAGCAGCATCCACCTGCCAATGCCCCTCTCCCACTCTCTAGGCGGGGTGAGGACATCAGGACAATATGATCTTTCTCAAACCCCTGGCACACCAACCTCCACCCCAAGGTTTCCCTGGAGACTACAGGGTGAGTCAGGTGGGAGATGACAATGGTCACCTCCTGTGCCCCTCTCCTGAGAAAGATCACAAAAGGCAGGGCCACTGAGATGACTGCAAGGGGAGCTGACATTTAGGAGCAGGAAAAAATCGGGCTGCATGGCCTTGGAGGCCAATGACTAGGCAGGCACTTGAGCTTGTGAAGGTGACTGTGTACACTGTGGGAGGGGAGGGGGTGCGGGGTGCCCTAGAAGAAGGCCAGTTTGGTCAGCTGCCCTGGCCTGGAGCCCCTTCCTCCTCCCAAGCCAACCTAGGAATAAAAGGCCGGATCAGGTGACTGAAGAAGTTCTTTTCTGCTTTAACTTTCTGTGAGTTCAAAAGTATACTTCTCTGGGCCTCAGAAGCCCCTCTCCACCTGATTTTATCACCCATGACCACCTCAGGAAAACTGGGTTTCTTTCTGTAGAAAGCCAGAACCCAAATTCTGCTATAACATCAACAAATAAACCAATCAATGAAGCCCAGAAAGCCTGGGATTCTCCCCTCTAGCATGCAACTTCCCTTCCTCCTCTAGACTCAAAGCCCCGCTCCCAAAAAAGCCAGAAAGGATGGGCTGAGAATTTATTCCTCCCTGTCACTGCCTTCTCATCGCCCCACCTGTGCCACTGGACCATCTGCCCCACCTAACCTTAAATGACCTGAAATCATGGCAATCCCCCCCACAACACAGGCATTCTCCCTCCTGAAGGGATTCCCTTGGGATTCAGGGATACCCTTTCTTGGCCAGCTTGGGGGAGGGAAATAGAAGGGAAGGCAAGAGCGGCTTCCGAATGAGGCCATCCAGTTGTCTAACCTCTGACCTGATCCTCTAGGCTCCAAGGCTGGGGCTGGGCCTTGAGCTTCTCAGCACAGGAGAAAGGGAGGGGCAGAGTGGGGCAATGGTAGCCAGATGACCTTGGGATTATCTGGGAGGTTATAAAGTGTACCTTTGGTCAGCAGCAGGGGAGGAGACAGCCCTCCTTCCTGTGCACCTTCTCCCTCTTCCCCCACCCAAGGCCTCCTCACCCTTTTTCTACCTGGGGACTTTGAGAGATGGTGGAGGGACAGCCATGCAACTGAGCACTAGTCTCAGCCCCTGAGAGTGTTTGTGGAACAGCAACTCCAAGAACAACCTACCATGGGAATTTCTCCTCTCCTTCCTCCCCGCCCCCACCCCCAAAGAGCCAACTTCATTTCCTTTTTCTCTGATGTCTTGTTGCTCATAACTCTGGGAGTTTCCAACTCCATATTAAGAGAAAAACTAGAAGCTCTGGACCCACCCTGCCTGTCCCCTCTGCATTTACATATTCATTGCCCTGTTTCACCTACTCAGTCCCATCTAGGCAAATGAATTCGAGAAAAGTCTACCAGTAAATCACTCCATTCATCCCTCATGAGGGTACAGGTTGACCCTCAGGTTGATGGGGGTGAGGAGTGGTTCTTCAAAAAAGTTCCCACCCCAATCTCACCCTCCTTCTGGGTCAAACCTCAAAACCTCAAGCTCCTGCACCTCTGGTTGGCCAGCACTTTGGCAGGGTGGGAGAGGCCTGGCGACCAAAGGAAGCCAACCTAGCCGCTGAAGCCAGAAAGCTCTTCTCCCTGGCTGCACAGCTGGCCCCGGATCTCTGACTTCCCCTTTCCTCAGCCCAGTACGTCGGGGACAGGGACGGAGACCAGGAGGGCGGGGCTGGGGGATAGTGCCAGGGCTCAAAAGTTCGGTACCCGGGGAGCAGGAGCCATCAGGGGTACTGCTTAAAAGACAGGACCTAAAGCGAGGGTGGAAGCCTGCCCTAAGGGATCCAAGAGGCCTCACGCTAGGCATTCACTCTTCTGGTCCCGAAACACGTGACAAATGGCCCTAGGGTGACAGGTAACAGTGACTGGAGAGTCTCGGCCTGGCTCCTGCGACTCCCCTGCCCCCACCCCGACCCCTGCCCCGCGGAAACGACGTCCCCAGAGCGTCCTCGCTCCCCGGAGAGGTCTTACCTCGATGCTGCCCACGGTACGGGCACAACCCACC